GATGCCCTAGATAACATCTCTCTGCTCCACACAGAGGGCTGTGGTAGCTCAGTGGTCTGTGGTTGCATCAGGAAGGGCATCCGGTGTAAAAATAATTGTCAAGTCTTCGTGTGAGTTAGTTTGCTGTGGCGACCCCTGAAGAAGGGAGCAGCCGAAAGAAGAAGTTTACCTATGAAATTGATGACTTTTTATATTCTATTTGTTATTGCTTCATGAGTCTATAGAGGTGATATATTCCAATAATTCCATATTCCAAGAGCCAGCTTCAGTAAACTAGGGTCAGAGCAGCAAGGCCCCCTGCCCAGTCATGATGCACCCAAATTGTATGGCCCCTCCTTCAGGTGGTGAGCCCATAAGAAGATGAACCAATGCAACATTTGGACTGAGCCCGAACGGGCACCATGGATAGAGACTCAGTCAACAGGTACTCACTGACAAACCTCCGCCGTTAGGTCTGGCTCCATAGTGGGCCCCGGTAACCACATCTTGGCAAGGGACATCAAGCTCTTTGTCATCTTCTGTCCTTCCAAATATTTTGAATAGCTCTTTGTGTGGCTTGTCATCTAGGACCAATCTGCGTTGAGAGACCAGGGGAATGCCCCCCAATGGCATAGCTGCTATATCATTCAGGCATACAAACTCCTTCACCACATTAAGGTGGTGATTCACAGAGGAGCTCACAAATACAGCTGAAATGAATTTTCTCTGTAGGGTAGCTGGACTGTCCCTTAGAAATAGGGTGAGAAGTTCAGTTATCTGGGAGAGACGGAGTACAGCTACTACTCCTCCACATCAAGAGACAGTTGAAGTGGTTTGGGCATTTGGTAAGGATGTCCCCTGTATGCCTCCCTAGGGAGGATTTCTGGGCACGTCTAACTGGGAGGAGACCTCGGGGAAGACCCAGGACATGCTGGAGTGACTATGTCTCTTGGCCGGTCTGAGAATGCCTTGAAAGAGCTTTAAGAGGTGGCTGTGGAAAGAGATGTCTGGGCCTCCCTGCTCAAGCTGCTGCCCCCGTCTCCCGACTCCGTAACATGCATATGGATGGAAGGACTCCAAAACAACATGAACTGTTAAACACAATCATAAAAAAATATGTCAAGAAACATTTGCTGAGAAAGACTTTAAGCAACTCTTGGAGGCAAAGCGACACACATTCACACTCCTAACCGAGCTGATGGTGCGCTGCTGCCCACACACAGTTCTAAACACTAAGTGAAAGGATCTCACACCCTGATATTTACATTAACAAAGCTAACATGTTCAAACCAGCACCAACGGGCTTCACTATAATGCCTGTGCTATTTAGACAACGACATCAAAACCTGCCAAATATCAACTTGTCTGAACATATTGTACTCCCTTTCCATTGGCAACTTTTTACCAGAGATTTGCTGTGTGACTCAGCAACTCGCCTCCTCCACTCCTCTTAAGGCAGGCGTAGTATTTAAACAATAAAGATGTTCTTTTTTATCACGAGGTGAGGGGGTCATCAGGTACTTTATTGCCCACAAAGTTACACAGAAATTACCGTAATGGCAACATCACAGCAACGCTTAAAAACACCTGCAGTAGGCTTTTAAGCTGTCATTACTTTGTGTCATTACACTCGTCGAACGCTGCACATTTCAGAGTCTGAGAAGAATCAGGGAAAAGTGCAGGTGACTGTGGTTAAACACTTTTTTCCTCCTTCGTATCAGGTATCAACATGCCTCTCAGTTCACATCTGGCTGTTTAAGCGGATCACATTTATGCCTGACATTAAAAGTGCACTTTTATTTTTTGCGGTAAATTCAAATTGAATTTCCTCTACAAAAAAAACCCCCACACTTCCTTTACAACTCCCGGCAATGTCTGAGCGCAGCTCACATGTCCGGGCAGGGCGGGGACGTATAAGTTACATTTGCTGATAACGTGAACAAATGCGCCTCTTGGCCTCGTCTGGAGGTGCCTCAGTTCACCGCTTCTTCGGCGCATTCTTCGGTTCGTTTTGCACCTTTTGTTGTATCTGCTTCTGCTCTGACTGATTCCAATCTGATTTCTGTCCCCTTCGCCCCCCTTCCTCCTCCTCCCCAACCCTCCCTGCATCCTTTGCTGCACCTTATCACCCTCTCTCCATCTATCCAAATTTTCTTTATTGGCACTGACAGAACTGGTGGCTGGTGACAGCCACCGTCACGGTGGAACAATGCGCTCATATTCGTATGATAATGCCGTCAGTCTGAAACACCACCGCAGATACATTTATATCACTACTGTTACTGTGCTTATTTTTCAAATGCTTTTTAAATCTCATATTATAGCGCCGTTCCCTTGACTTTTTTTTTTTTAACATTCCTGTTTTCTCCTCGCCACCATGTTGGCAGTCAAATTAAATCCCTCTCACGGCCTCTGGCAGTGTCTTTCTGACACTGCCCAGTTTGTAATGGCACTGTATATTTCTCTCCGTCTGTCATTTCCTTTTCTCTGTGTCTGCCTCCTTTCTCTCTC